CGGTGGAGCTCCCGATGGGGCCACGAAACGTGCGAGGGGCGTGCCCGATTTGTCTGGAGAAGGCATGCGAACGCAGCCATTGGGGCTTTAGGCGGAGCTCCCGATGGGGCAACGACGCGTGCGAGGGGTGCGCCAGAGTGCAGTGGCGGCGGCATGCGGGCACAGCCGTTCTGCCTTCAGGTGGAGCTCCCCGTGGGGCCATGGAACGTGCGGCAGAAGTGGGGTTGCGGCGGCATGGGAACGCAACCATTGGGGCCTTACACGGGGCTCCCTATGAGGCCACACATGCGAACATGTACCATAGTGGGGTAACAGCGGCATGCGAACTGGGGCCTTGGGCGGAGCACCTGATGGGGCCACGAAACGTGTGAATGGTCTGCCAAAGTGGGGTTGCGGCGGCATGCGAACGCAGCCACTGGGGCCTTACGCGGAGCTCCCTGTGGGGCCACGAAGCGTGTGAGGGGTGTGCCAAAGTGGGGTGGCGGCGGCACGCAAGTGCAGCCACTTTGGCCTTGGGCGGAGCTCCCTATGATTCCACGAAACGTGTGAGAGGTGTACCAAAGTGGGGTGGCGGCGGCATGCGAACGCAACCATTGGGACCGTAGGTGGAATTCCCTGTGGAGCCGTAAAACGTGTGAGGGGTATGCCGAAACAGAGACATGCGGAGGGTAGTGGGAAGTGACGGGAGAAGGGGGGCGAGGAAGGAGGCAGACAAGCCAACCGGCGCCGCTGATTCAAAACGAGGACCCAATTTAATTCAGGATGTTTGGGTGAACTGTTCTTCGGCCTTACAACATGGACGACACAAGGCAGGCTTTCTTACATCTGTTCAAGAGCAGCTTGACTAGCGCGGTGCGTATCGCTATTAGAAGGAATATGGTTCCCATAATGAGATATTCGAACTTCTGGAAGATTGTATTACAACAGCAGGACAGGCTCACTTTAGTATGGCGACGCTCGGAGGCGACACTCGACGACAGGCTGAGCGCAGAGAGAGACGACGATTACTTCATGTGCGGGCAGATCTACGCGAAGGTAATATGGAAGTATCCCCTGAGGAGGCTACTCACATTGATGCTGAACGTAAGCGCACTTCTCAAGAACAACGACTACTACGACGCAGAGCCTCTCGTGCCCTTCAGTTTCCGTTGGTGGCGGAAGCGACGGATTTATGGAATCACCAGAAACAGGCAGAAGCTATGAGGTTGGCACGACGAGCACCGCGCACACGCATTGGACCAAAGAAGTGGGATGGGTTTCTTGTTCGGACTGCACCACCTACCTCAGAGGTATGGTTAAATGTATGGCCGCTGGAAGGCTTACAAGGTGGGATGGCGGTGCACCCTCAAAGCTGGTTTGGATGGCGCGACGAGCGGAAGGGCCAGCAGTATCTGTGGGAATATACGGAGGGGGTGATTGATCTTTGTAAGGAGGATATGGATCGAGTTATTCGGTGGATGAGACACGCAGCTATACGACGCGCAGTTCCAGATCCAACGGCACCGTTGGAGCTCTGGCTGATGCTAGTCTTACTTAAGAAAGCCCTCAAACAGCGACGAGGCCAGGGTATAGGAGCCGACATGAGTGTGCCAACAATCTCGGGTTGCAAATTCCTGGTAGAGGTGGGTTTGGGGAAGATCAGGATGCACAACATCAGCCCGCTCTACTGGCATCGGACAGAAGGCGCAGGTCTACGCAAATCTCGTCTGGCTGGTCCACGTGGGCGGAGAGTGGTTCATGTGTTGGCAACTATTGGGAAAAATACTACTCGACGCTGCTGGTTCCGCCCCCGACAGACCAGGATCACGGCTACTATCGACATCGTCGTCGCGAGGATGCTGTCATGGGAGCGCTGATTACACCATGGCGTTTAAGGGCACAAGGTATCACGCGCGCCATGGCGCTCAAGGATATGTCCAACGCTTCCGGCAGCTCCCAGTGGGCTCAGTTAGATGATACCGTATTTCTTCACTCCCGTGAATGTGATCATGCACTTTGCCAACAACGACATAATAATACAATTACTTTTTCGGAAGCGCTGGAAGGCCCTCTCACAGCTCGACCGACACAGGGGAGCACGATGGGGGTCCATTCGCTGTCCGAGCTTGTGGAGGTACCTTCGCACGTCCAGTTTTGTCCTGGAGGCATGGTGAGTCCAGAGCTGACGTGCAATCCAGATGATTGCGAGCACCGTGGCAGGGACTCCAAGCCGACTTGAGCACGTGCAAATTTGCGGATGATATGACTAGTTCTGCGCTGGCGCCGCCGAAGGATTTCACAACTAAGATCGCAGAGGTTGGTGCAATATTGGATTATTGTCTTGCGGATTTTGGCTAGGTCCAGAACAGCACCAAGCAAGAATACCTCATGTTTTTTGCTACACGGGGCCATCGGCGCCGGCAGTTGCCCCGCCAAGACCCCGCCCTTCTCGGGGGCTCCATCAAGGAACAAGCGAGATATCTTGGGCCTCACTTACACTTAGGCGTTTCGGCTAGGTGTGAGATTTCCCGGAGATGTTCGGCGGCTCGTTCTGGTTTCTTTTCGCGGGGCAGGGCGCGGAGTCTTGGGACCCCGAAAACGGGGAAAAGTAGTGTCTTCATCGGGTTCGTTCAGAGTGCTCTCTTGAGTGGGCTCGACTGTTTCGTGGTCACGGAGACGGACGCTGCTGTACTTGATGGCTGTCTGGCACGTCTTGGGCGCATAGCTACATTTGGCAAAGCTACCTCTTGGGGCGGGCCGCACGTAAAGACATCATCCAACAAACAGGTGCTCACTCATTGGAAGTTGGCCCCCTCCTCGCTGGAGCTTCTGGTTCGCCGAGTTAATTTGCGTCAGTGGTGGAGCGCGCATCCTGAGGGCCACGCTCAAAGTTTACGCGCGCTGCTTGAATCTTCTCCAATTGGATTTACGCGACCTCTGCTCGGAACCGGCGGCCGGCCTGCTTTTTATTCTTCGCCGTGGACAGAACAAGTTGCCTTAGATCTTGATCGCGCCCCCAGGCTTCTTCCTCGCTAGGGGGTCCGAGACGTTGCTAACGACCTGCGTCTAGCTAACGACTTGGAGGCTTCCGAGGTCTTTCGGAGCGCGGTTATGAACGAGCCTCGTAGCCAAGTGTTATCGGCGAGCACCCCCCCTTCCAGGCCACGCCCCCCCCCGGAGGCACCTCGTGAGGATCCCGAAGAACACGCAGAAGTGGATTCACCCTTTGTGTGCCCAATGGATCTCAATTGGGAGCCCTGTCGGAGTGCCTTCAGTCCCCGTCAAAGCTACCTGAACATCTACGACATTGCCATACTCCACGCAATCTAGCTCATGTGCTTACGCCAAGAAGCGCGCACTCACTGCTGACAGACATTCGCAGCGCAAGTTACTGCAGCACGACATGTATTACGTTCTCTACAGACAAGCAACTGTTTCACATGTGGACCCCGCACACTGTGCCCACTGATTACTCCATCGTCTTATGAGTGCCCATGCTGTGGCTTCGCGGGGGTGGACACGTTATCTCTCGGTCGCCATCTCCGAAGCATTCTGTCCGTCCTGATTGCGCCTTTCGCGTCGGCTTTTCGCACTGCAACTACTGACGCGCACGGCTTTCATCATGGAATCAGAGGCTCTGCAGAAACTTGCTCGACACAAAGGCGCCAACTCCTGGGGGGCAGATGGCGCCCCGCCCGACAAGAAGAAGAAGGCCGCATCGGGCAGCCAGGGAGGTCGCATTCCGTTCGGCAAAATCATCATCGTATTTTGCAAGCTGATCTTGGCCAACAGTCGAGAGCCAGCAGACCTCGGAGCCGCGGTGCTGTTGCGGTACGAGATGGACGCAGGCCATGGCATGATCGCGGCTGCGATCGCGGCAGGAGCAGCCTACGACGAGACGGGCAAAAAAGATGGAGAAGCGCACCGACGCTGGAGAGACTGTAACCCACAAGTCACGCGCCGCACCTCACATTCAAATCTTCATGGCAGTGTGGGAGCACGGCGCAACCAAGGCGGTGGCGGAGGAAGGGGAGCCAGCACTACGCGAGAGGGCGGAGAAGCTCAAGAAGGACATGCGCGGGTTCTGGGACAAGAAGCTCTCGCAGGCGGATTTGCCAGAGATTGCCCGCGCCGCCCAGTACTTTCGCGCACGCGCGCATCGCAAAGTGCAGGGTCAGAAAGACAAAGCTACATTCCTGTTCAGAATGGACCTTCACCACTCGCTGGGTTCAGTGATCGGCCCGATGGCCGAGACGCTCGCGGCGGTGGAGGGGTTTTCTTTCTTGCAGGGGCGGCGCCGAGGGGGCCGCTGGACAGAGATATCTCGAAGTTCCTGGATCGGAAGGACACGACGGCGTGAGCTCGTCCCAGCCTCCGGGGAGTGAGGTATTCGAGGAGGCGCTTCCCCCGCCAGCCCGTGCCAGCAGTAGCAGTGTGAATGACAGTCGTGAGAGATTAGCTAGCAGACTCCCGATGATGGCAAGTGCAAGTAGTGAAAGGTCAGCAGCACTTGTAGCAGCAGGTAGTTTGACACATGAACACTTACCTCGGGGAGTAAGTAGGCCCCCAGCTAGTCTTCCAGAAGGTTTCGCAGCGACATCAGCTCCTGCGATTCCTGTAATTAATATGCGTTCGAATCGTGGCCGAGGCGGCCGCACCCAGGGGAGGGGAGGGCGGGGGGCGAGTTCTGGTGGGCGGGGGAAAGGACGTGGTCGCCGCGCCTGATGTATGGGCCCCCTTTTGAGGGCTGCGTGCCTATAGGGGCGCCCATCGGCCAGTGCAGTCAGTGAGTGCTGTGAGCCTGAGAGGGGATCGCATCGGTAGCCGTCTGGTTTCGAAGGAACCCTCTCACAGTACAGTCAAGTATTTTCGGGTTCGTAGTCGGTTGCTTGACAGGGACTCCATGAGGATCTGCTTTGCTCCTCCTCCTCCTCCTCCTCCTCCTCCTCCTCCTCCTCCCCCTCCTTCACCTCTTTCCTCGCCCCCCCCCGCCTCCTCCCCGCCCCCGCCCGCAGCCCCAGGAGGCCCCCCACGAGAGGGCGCCTCGCTTGAGCCGCGAGGCCGCGACCGCAGAGAACATGGAGCTCAGGCGCCACGCGATCCAGGAGGAGGCGGAGCTGAAGGCCAGCGGCGCCCCGGAGCGCCCCGCCCCCCGCCCCCTTCGCGCGCGCGCGGGCGGCCGAAACGCAAGCAAAAACGCAGCATGAGCATAAACGGTCGGAGCTCCGCACGGATTTCTTGGATCCGCGTTGGGCACACCACCGCAGATCCAAGAGATCCGTGCGGATCCCCGACAGCTTATGTGTATGGTGTGTGTTCCTCAGTCTGACCGGGGCCCAGGAGGCCCCAGTAAGCCTGGGAGGCCTCTGGAGAGTGCTGGCTGGCATTGGGTTGCGCCCCCACCGCCATCGAGACCAGGGTCCGCTGCGGCAGGGTGCCCGGCGCCCGCGTGAGTTGCGTGGTTCTTGGGCTGTTCGTGCCGCGGCCGTGTCTTAGCAGGGGCAGCGTGAGGAGCAGCAGCGGGCACAGACCCCTGGTATTGCGTTCTGTTCCCCATGTCGTAAGTATGTGTTGTTTGGAGGAGTCGCCAGACAATTAGCCTTTCGGTTGTCCCGCATAGCCACACGCTGGAGAGGACCGCCTCTGCCTCGCCGCCGACAAAATAATTGGTTGAGGATTGCTCAGAGTGACCCCGTACCGCCTCACCCTCGCCCTCGCCCTCCCCTTTTCTTGACTCCCCCGTGCTTGAAATCAGCTCCTGCTCAGTCTCCCTCACTCTGGTGTTGTGCTTTGCTGTGCCAAGTCTGTAACTGACACGTTGTTCTAGGTTCACAACTTGGGCCAAGAGCTGGGCTCAGAGAGCCCCTTCCCGAGGGCTACTCTGCCGCGTCGCACGTCCCCAGCGCAGACCGCTACCTCGAGCCCGATCCAGGATGTTGCCACTCCAGGTCCAGTCAATGGTCCGCCTCAGGACCGTTCCAGCTACATTCCGTGGGTGCCCGCTCGATGGTCGTGCGCCCCAGAGCCAAATGGTCCGGACCCGGATCGTTGCAGGCGCATTCTGGGGATGCCAGTTCATGGCGTTCCATGTCCAGACAATGGGGCGCCCCCGCGCCAAATGCAATCCGAGGGTGCACCCTCAAAGATAGCGCGCCACAAGCCGAATGTTGCGTCCCAGGGTCCTTCCAGATGCATTCCGTGCGTGCCTGCTTGGGGACGGTGTGCTCCAGGTCAAGTCGACGGTCCGCCCCAGGACGGTGCCAGCTGCATCTCGTGGGTGCCCGCTCGAAGATGGTGCGTCCCGGGTCCAGACAACGCTTAGTCCCAGAACAGTTCCAGGTGCATTCGGCGCGTGCCCGTTCGAAGCTGCTTTCTAAGTCCGAACACTGCTGCGCCCCCGCTGCAGATGCTCTCCTCGGGCGCCCGATCGGGCATGTTGCGCCCCAAGTCCGGCAGTGCGCCCCAGAGTGCGTCCAGGCGCATTTTGTGCATGCCCCTTGTAGAATGATACGCCCCTGGTCCAGACAGTGGTGCGCTCAAGGACCGTTCCAGCTGCCTTTCGCAGGTGCCCATTCGAGGATGGTGAGCCCCAGGTTCAGACAATGGTGCGCCCCAGGGTCCGTCCAGGGGCATTCCGTGCGTGCCTTTTCGAGGTTGCGTCCCAGATGCCGACACCGGTGCATCCCAGAGAAGATTTCGCCAACTACCATAGACACCAATGCCCCCCCCCATGCTTCTGCCCACGACTCCACATCCACTGCAAGGGTCATCTGGGCGCTTATCGACCTCCCCGCGCCTATACTCCCCGCGGCACGCTCACACCCTTCTGAAAGCGGGCCCCCACGGCGCGCAGTCAGGCCCAGCCTCTCCGCACCGCACCTGCCAAGCTCGCACGAGACCCGCTGCGCGACGGCTCCTCCTGAGCCACCACCCCCGATGCCCGACAACCATCTCACCGCCCGCCGCGCGGCCACGCGGCCGCGTCGCCAGTCGCTCTTGGAGAACGGACCTCTCACGGAACGGGCCGGCTTCATGGTCGGGTGCACCCGAACACGCCACCCCCCGCAGTCCATGCGGTCTTAGCAGCGCCGGGCGCGGATTTGAAAACAACGCTCGCCACACTCGTGCCGCACACGGCGCCGCCACCGCGACACGCCGTCGGACGCCTGCTGGGGGGTCACGAGCATACCCCGCCGCCTCCGTGCCGTGGACCCCGCGCCGCTTCCGCAGCGTGGCCCCCTCCCTCACCCCTCACCCCACCACATCTGGCAAGGCGCCTGCAGGACGCCAGGCGCGGCAACGACAACGACCCTGACGGACTGCACTCTAGAAGCACCATTGACAACGATGATGTCATCATCCGCTGCCCCCGTCCGCCTCCACCTATGGATGCAGCAGCTGTTGCCGCCACCAACGCCACGACCGACGCCCCACACCACCTCCCCCTCCAACTTCTCCCCCCCTTCTCCCCTCCTTCTCCCCCTCCTCTTCCTGCTCCTCATCATCATCCTCCTACTCCAGTCCCTCCTCCTCGCCCCCCCTCCTCATGTATGTGTATATATATATATGTACATGTATATACTTGTGTGTATGTGTATATAAATATATATGTAAATATGCATATGTGTGTATCCTCCTCCTCCTCCTTCTCCTCCTCGTCCTCCTCCTCCTACTCCTCCTCCTTCTCCTCCTCGTCCTCCTCCTCCTCCGCCCCTTCCTCCTCCTCCTCCTCTTCCTCCTCCTCCTCCTCCTCCTCC